TGAAAAGGCAGGAGGTAAGGGGGAATGAAATCAGAGCTCATGGCTGACCTTGCAGCAATGCCAAACTGCAGAGCCCTGCTGCCACCCCTGTTATGCCATTGCCAGGAGGAAAGCATCACCCTCCTGGGGACGTGGGTCCCCATGGCTAAGCCGGGGGAAGGTGTAAAACGGGGATGTAGTGGGGTGTCCAGCTCCGTAATTACATGAGTTTGGGAGAGAAATCTCCATGGATCATGCCGCATGGGGGAGGACCCTGATGCCACCTGTGTCCCCTGTGATGGCAGACCCTGCCCCTTGAGGCCCAGGGACTGTGAAAGCTGCAGCCACCAAAACCAGCTTAATCCCCCTGAACACCTGATAACCAGGCACCGTGGTGGGGATGGGAGGCAGAGCATGGCATAGCTGAGGAACCCCTGGGCTGTGTGTGTGTCACTTCATTCCCAAGTCCTGGCAGAGGGGGGGGATGAGAGTGATTCATCCACCGCCACCTCCCACGTGTCATCCCTCACTGCAAATCCTCCCCAGAGATAACTGCCATCTTCCTGAGCGGGCACCCCAACGGAGGGACCAGCCTGGCTGCGGGGCTGGAGTGACAGCTCGGGGCTCTTTGAAGATACTGAGACAACTGCTAAATATGTAAATCTCAGCATGCTGCTGTGGCTCTTATTTAATAGTGTTTTTGACTGTCTGCAGCTGTGTAGGAGCAGGGAGAGACAGACCCAGCTAAAATCACCAAGAGCAGCATCCCTGCTTGACTATTCCAGCCACGGGCCAGCCTCTGCTCCGCTGGACTCAGTTTTAATGGCTGGGAGTTGCTTTGAAATGCCATTTCTGAAGAGCAGAAATCTGCTCAGTCATGTTTTTGTTTCAGTTCCTTGAAAAAAACTTAAAAGAGGGAGATAAGGGTGTAGACCTAGGTCACCTTGTCCACAGCTGGAAACTAAAGGAGGTCCTGAGCATCGCTGGAAATGTCTCTGCTGGAGCAAAGCCAGCTCTGCCTCCTGCTCCGGGCTTCTTTCAGGGCTGCATCTGGTTCTTGATGATAATGATGATGCTAACATTTATAAATTATTATTTTTGCTGACCTTCCCAGTCATTTCCTTCCTAGGAGCTCACGCCTGAGATAATCCCTCTTTTATTACACATGTCCTGATGGGGACAAATATTGCTGGCTTTGCCTATCCAGATTCTTATGTAATAGTTCCCAGGGACCCTGGGCTGTGTGGAGGAGATGCTCAGTCTTTGGAGTAAACTCTTTGGGGTAGAAACCTTAGGTCTGGCCCCTCATCCTACAAGAAGCCAACTGGTTCTCCTGAAAAACCTTCTGCTGCCCAAGTCCAGGAGACAATTACACCTGGCATGGCCAGCAGCTTCCCCATCCTGAGCACAAAGAAAGCGCATCCACGCTTGGCAGGGCTGCCTTCAGCTTCCTACGGGCTCCTGATGCCATCAGAGAGGTCTGGATCAGGCACAGGACATTGCTCTCCTTTCCTAGCTAAGTCCTCTGCTTTCCCTGCCTGGCCCGCAGCAGGGACTCAGCGCAGAGCAATCAGCTAAATGCTTTATCCCTCTGCAGGCAGTTACGCCAGGGGGGGTGAAAAATAAAAGCCTGATGGGATCCTTTTGCTGGCCTGTCACCTTAAAGCTCTCACCTCTCCTCGTCTTTCATCAGGGTTATAAACTCCTTAGGATATCACCACGTGCTCCATAAATAACAAATATATAAGCAAGGGCTGTGGAGGGTGCGGCAGACAAAGAGGAGAGGAGAGGAGAAGAGAGGAGGCAAAACCCTGGGTCCTTCTCTCCCACCAGCTGCGAGGCAGCAGCACCGGAGCCAGCTGGGCAGAGGAGTGGTGCGGGGTCCCTGTCCGGTAAGCACCCCCTTTTCTGTTGCATCCCGGTGGTACTGACAGCCTTGGGGACAGCCAGTGGTCCCCAGGCCACTGTGACTTGTCAGCCTCAATATGGCAGGATATGGGGAATTGCCCCAGAGGGGAGGGAGGTTGGTGCATGGAGCTTTAGCTTACCTAAAAAATGACTTTGGTGGAGGTAAGAATGTGACTCTGGTCACAGCCTCTGTCCCATGCCTACACTTCCAACACATGCTATCAAAGACTGGGTGTACTAGAGACTCTTCTCATTGAAACCCTCCATGTTTGGGGTGTGGGAAATATTAAGCTCTTTTGCAAGGAATATTTGGCTTAAAAACTGAGTGAATAAATCCTTACTACCAACTCAATTCAAAATTCAAGCTCCAAATCCAGGCAGACATTCGGGTTGGAACTAGATGATCTTTATGGTCCCTTCCAACCCAAACCATTCTATGATTCTATGAACATAAGAAAAAAAATGGTGTTAGGGGGGGTTCTGTGGACTTGCCTGTTTATTTACACATGAGCATCTCTACGTACTACCTGGATGCTTTGATCTCTAGAGCACAAACAGAAAAAGAAATTTGCAGAGCAAGCTTTTGGTACACTGCTATGTACACACAAATATATTGGGCTTGTCTCAGGCAGATCTGGTAAGGAGCTGCAGCCCAAAATTTAGCCTGGGCTATGACTTGGACAATATGCAGAAGGCTGTATTGGAGCATGGAAGACAGACGTCTTGAGCCAGGGAGAGATTTTCCTCCTCACTCTGATTCTCACTTACTCTGTGACGTGGGGAGAGTTCCTTTCACCTCCACAGGTCAGATGCTTCCCAGGTGTAACCACACTGCTGGTACCCCCATGGCCATGCAGGATCTAGGGTCAGTTCCAGGGACTGGTTGGGAAGGGTGGTTGGTTCCTCTGTGCTCTGCATGCTCTATGTATCCCCCCGGCAGAAGGTTTTTTGCATTTGCAAGGAGCTGAGAAGCAAAGCAAAAAGTTCATTTCCAGCAAACGAACACAAATAGATCAGCCCTCCAGCTGAATAACCTGGGTTGCCAGGAATAAAATGTCAGAGGGGAAAAAATACAATGAGAGCAAGCTAAGGAGCAGCCTTTCCCCATCATCAGCTTCTGTTCCGGGCTGTGGGTGGTTGAGGTCTCAAGAAATTTCTAAAAACAGCTGAAGGGATCTGAATCCCCTTTCCCGGCCATCTCTAATGGGAGCTGAGCAGCCACTCTTACAGGCTGGTTTGAACCCCCCCCACCAACTCTGGGGATGGTCCCACAGACTTTCCTGTACTCAGTCCTTCACAGCCTTTGTATGGTCTGGGATAAAGACTCGCTCTTGGACCCAGCTAACGGTGGCTGTTGGTGAGCAAACCTTCCCCTCCATAATTCCCACGGCAGCTGAAACCCCAGCCCTGCGGGTGGCTGTTCCCAGCTGGCTGCTCTGCCCTGGCATCCCTGCACATCCAGCAGCATCCCCAGAACCTGCCCCAGGCACTCAGCACCACCCAGGATCAAACTGCCGTTGCATTTTCTGGGTACCCAGAGCCCACCCTTTTGCCTACTCTGGGATTTATCCAGGTGGATCAGCACCTAATCCAATTAGCAGGATGAGGAGTTCCAGAAGATTTGATAATAAGCTCTATGAACACTACAACTGTCCCAGCATCCTGCTCTTCCCTCCAGCTCGGCCACCCCTTCACTTGCCTCATACAGGAGCATGAACCACCCATTCAGTCAGTCCTTAGTGACTAGAACCAGCATTGGGGATGCCTAATAATTCCCCCACCAAAGAAACCCCCCTCTCCCTAGTGGACCCCAATCCCTTTGATACATATCCACTGCCAAACCAACAAATAATTGAAAATAAATCACAACACCACCCTGTCCCACCTCAGACCGGATAAAACAGGCGTTTCAAGCACCCAGCCCTCGGCATTTCAGGATGGAAAATTCCCAGCTTGCGCTGGTTCTGCCCTGTGCAATGTTTGTGCTGGTAATGCTTTTGTTTCTATAAATCCTATTAGCTGGAGGCAAGCCTATAATTAGCAGGGAAAGCTGGCACCTCTCAAACAATAATCAAAAATGACCTGGCTTTGCTGCACATTGCTTGAACATCGGGCTGAGCAGGGATGGATGGATGGATGGGCGGCTCGGGATGCTCTTCCCACTATTTCTGCCTGCGGGATGCACGTGCTTAACAATTATTTGCTCAGTTTGTGGTTCTCTCTGGATTTATTAACTTGGTTTGCTTGCATATGAAACAGGAGGCAGATTGAAGCTACAGGCTCTGATCCAGGTCGAGGGATTTGGCTGGGCTGTGCAGGACGGGTGCTGCCGGGTGAGCTCGGGGGCCAATGACCCTCCTGGATGAATCAACCGAACTGGGGTCCTGTGTTGCAGGTGACATGTGCTGGGGCTGGCTGTGCCTGGTGGGATCACACTGCCCAAAGCTCCCAAGACTGGGGGCAAAGCGTGGAAGCACCTCACCCAGCTGGGATGCCCGAGGCTTTTGGCAGCAGGCACGCACTCCCCCTGCCACAGACCCATCTCAGCCATGTCTGTGAGCGGGGCTGTGACCTAAGAGCCCAGCAAGGACTAAGTTGTGTCACTCACCCACTGAGTGAGCCGGAAAAGGGGGCAAATCCCAGCAGCTCAGGCTGCCTCCCACGCTGGGGCACCATGGTGTGCCTATGCTGGCCTGGCACTGACCTCTCCCTCATGACCAACCATGCAGCACCGCATGGAGCTTTCACCCAGAAATGCTTATTTTGCAGCCTCTCAGATTCTTGCAGCCACATCCCAACCTGCCTGTCCCCAGGGCAGGTTGGACTTACAGCCCACAGTGACAGCAGACTGGCCATAGGGTCACTGTGGGCAGGTATTTGTTTTATAGATATTTTAACTTTATATATATATACAAACACACACATATGTAGAGGAAAAGGGCAGCAAGCAGCCTAATCCTGTGTGTGATCAACAGGCATTTTGGCAGCTAAGTGCACTGGAGGAGATCGGCTGAACTGAAGGGTTCTGTGACATTGCTGGGGCTGGGAGCCAGCAGAGGCTGCCCCGAATAGAGGGAGCAGAGGGAAGCCAGGTAGGAGGAGAAGGAGGAAGAAGAGGATGCCAGCACTCAGCGCGTTGCCTTTCCTGAAGCCCGTTCACCTGAGGTCCCCTGGAAGCTCGCCAAGGGGCCAGCGCCGCTACACGCTGCCGTTTCGCTGCCTCAGCCCCGAGGATGCCATCAGCGTGTTCGAGATTGAGAGGGAAGGTAAGGGGCTGCCCTGGGGAGGTCCTGCCTGGTGGACACCATGCTCAGCCTCCTGCATGGGAACACTTTGTGATGCATCCCCAGCAACCTCCCTCCTCCCCTCCTTCCAGAGGAGCCAAGCTGCTCCCTGGAGCCATCCGTATCCCTTAGAGCTTCGTTAGACCACGTAGGCAACAGGGCACATGCCATCTCTCCCCATCACATCCCACCTACCCCTCGGCACTGATGTAGTCTTCCTCACTGTGCTCACTGCTGTCCCTCTCCAGCCTTTATATCCGTCTCTGGAGACTGTCCCCTCCACCTGGATGAGATCCGCCACTTTCTGAACCTGTGCCCGGAGCTCTCCCTCGGCTGGTTTGAGGAAGGGCGGCTGGTGGCATTCATCATCGGCTCCCTCTGGGACCAGGACAGGCTCAGCCAGGTAAGAGACAGACCTCATTCTTCCCAGCTTGTGTGCTGGGAGAGGCATCTCCAGAGCCTGGGCATGAGGAGAAGCTCCCCGGGACCCTGAGGCTACTCACCAAATCTTTTCCTAAGACTAATCAGGGCTGCTCTGGTAGAAATTAACTTTCTCATTAATTAATTTTACTGATGTTGTTAAAAAAAAAAAATGCTCAGGATTTCCCCATAACATTCATTGTAAAATTAAAAAGCCTGCAGGGATGATGGGGAGAGGTGAAGGTGGATGGCACCAAGACCCTTCTCCCTTTAGGGGAAAGTGTGGACCCTATTTCATTGGGGTGGGGAACCTAGACACAGGCAGGATGGGACCCCCCAGTCACACTAACCCCCGCTCCCACTTTGTCAGGCGGCGCTGACCCTGCACAAGCCGCGGGGCACGGTGGTCCACATCCACGTGCTGGCCGTCCACCGCACCTTCCGGCAGCAGGGCAAGGGCTCCATCCTCATGTGGCGATACCTGCAGTACCTGCGGTGCCTGCCCTTCGTCCGGCGTGCCCTGCTCATGTGTGAAGATTTCCTTGTGCCCTTCTACCAGAAGTGCGGTTTTGAGGTGCTGGGTCCCTGCGAGGTGACGGTGGGAGAGCTGGCCTTCATCGAGATGCAGCACTCCGTGCGGGGACATGCCTTCATGCGCAGGAACAGCGGCTGCTGAGCCCCCTCCGGTCTGGCCCT